GCTTAAGAAGAGGTGGTGTTCGAGGTCGTGGAGGTCCTGGGAGAGGGGGCCTAGGGCGTGGAGCTATGGGTCGTGGCGGAATCGGTGGTAGAGGTTAGTCAGCTACCAACTTCAGAGAGTAGCTCCCCCTTATTTTCCTCCCTTAAAAAACTCAGAGCCACCCTTCTGCACAGCTTCAAGTCATAGGCAGGCTTCTCTGTTTGTCTTGTTTTGTTATTTGAAACTGCCTTATCTTCAAACTCACATGCTGGTAGTGTGCGAGTCTGTCATGGTTTTTCCAAGAACCAGTCAAATGTATTGTAAATTTAAATTTTTTTATTAAAGTAGCCAAAAACACAAAATGTTCAGTTTAGGGTTTACCTTTCCCCGTTACTGTACCATCACCACACCCCACCATATGTTTCAGAACCCCAGTTTGAGTTGCATGAGAGTAGAAAAGGAGGTGTACAAAGACAAAGTGGAGTTAAAGAGGGTGAAGACACTTGGAGCTGGGCATTGGTTCTGAAGCCAAGTGAATTCAATGTAAAGTTTGTGCCTATGGGAAACTACAGAGGATTATTTTTGCTCAAGGTAAAAAACAAGATGTTATTATTATCCGTTATTTAACTGGCTCTTGTTGATAGTCTTACCTTTGAGACCTAAGTGATACTTGCCTTGTGACCTCATGACCCAGACTGGAAAAGAGTTTAACGGTGTTGCTGTCAAATCTCATGGGAGCCTTTTGGCTTAGAGCTTAATGGAAAACTAGCAACACCTGTACTGGATAAGAAATCTACGGTAGCCCCTGTGTTTATTTGCTTTGGTCTTTTAAAGCATGTGATGGGTCTTATAATTAGTGATGTTGAAGTTGCCAAGGAATTGTAAGGAAAGGAAATTTGATAACCAAGGACTTGTAATCCCATTTTATTCAACTTATTGAGTCAAGTGCAAGCTAGTTTGGATTTCAGGATGAAATAGCATGTTCCCAAATTTAGTTTCTGAGAGAGACATCATAGGGATGGGAGAGACTAAAGTAGCTTTACAGAAAGTCAAGTGTTGTTTTGTTAAAGTGAATTGAAACTACCTCTCAGGTAACCACAATTGTCAGTTGTCATAAGGTGACTAGAACTAGATGGAGATGTAGAAATGGCTGGGACTACTCAAAATGTTTTTCCCCATCTCCCCACATTGCTCTTGTGTCAGAATAACTCCTTAGTTTCCTGACACGTGGGGTCAGCTCATTAGACTTGAAAGTTTAAGGGAAGCGAAGGTAACTTCCAAAAGAGTCTCCACTAAACTTGATTAGAAAACTGCCTACCTTTATACTCGTGATTATCAGTGCCCTTGTTACTGCCTCCCTAGCTTACTAAATGGGGCTATCTATCATGTATTTTAGTTAATGACGTTACAGTGGGCCTCAAATGTTAGGTAATTTCTTTATCTTAAGAAAGATAAAGGATTTTTAAAATTGTCACTTAATGATTTTCCTTTCTTGATAAAAGAAAAATTGAAGTAGCATTTAGAGATGAGCATGTAATAAGTGATTCATTACGTGTGCTTTCCATGTGCTGCTTTCTACCCAGTGTGTTTCCTGTTTTTCCAGATTTCTCCTCCTCTTTGGCCCTCCCCTTCAGCCTTTCTCAGCTAGGCTCCACTGCTCTAAGGGGCATTAACTATAGCACCCATTAAACCTACTTGTAACTATCTTTCTTATTTCCCTTGGGCCAGGTCGGGGTATGATAGGTCGGGGAAGAGGGGGCTTTGGAGGACGTGGACGTGGACGTGGACGAGGGAGAGGTGCCCTTGCTCGCCCTGTGTTGACCAAGGAACAGCTGGACAACCAGTTGGATGCATACATGTCAAAAACGAAAGGACACCTGGATGC